ATACGCGGGCATGATCCTTAGGGGGGCATGACTTTTTGTAACACCTGATTGGGCTAAATTTCGTAGACCCATAAATACCTTTGAGAAAAGGCGGTGAAGCCGGCTCTCTTAACAAGCCCAGATCTCTGCAGAAGCAACCGGACCAAGCCGGCCTATTAGAACAGTTCGCATTCGGCCGTCAAAACAAAGTATTATTTTCGATACCTATAGAATAAGGCCAATTCTATTAAGAGCAGCTATCTATGTCTCCTCTTACTACTATGGAAGGAAGAATCTCCTCGTCGCTATTAAGCAGCTCCCATTGACTCCTTCGTCTCCGAATGCTGGGTTGCGTCTTCCGTCCGCTGGCACGTCCTCCTGTAGTTCTCCCCGCTCCAAGGATACCCGACTGGCTGCGTTTCTGGCGCTGATTTGAGCTACTGGCCTGGCTACTGGCATGTTGGCTCGCATCGAGTTCCACTCTGGCCAGAGTCGACCTGTTTAGACTACCCGGTGGTCGACCTCGCCTACGCCTTGATGGGCCCTGGCTGGCTGGTTGACTACTCTGCCGATTGCTTGCTCCGATGGCTAGCCTTGCTGGAACAGCCTGCGTGGTGTTTTTGGGCCTGCCACGGAGAGCAGTGGCAATCTTGGGGTCGAGAATCCGTCGGTATGGATCTCGAGAGGATGGCTCTCGTAGTCGCCACCGTGGATGGACCTCCCACTTAGTGAAGGGTGTGGCAGACCCTAACCTCGAGTAGACCTTGTGGCAACAAGGTATACCGAGCTCGACAGAGACCGAACAGTCGTCGTTGCAGCCCCCGAGAGGCCCCGGGAACGGATTCTTACCAGTCGGCATCGCTTTGCGAGCTAAGCGATATTGCTTGTTGATTAGCCCAAGGCCCTTCGATGATATTACTGTCCGGAGTTCGCCTAGATACTCCGACCTAGACCCTATATACTCGCGAGCGGTGAGTACCTCGTCCGCTGCGCAGGCATCGTTGAAGTCCTGCTCTTGGTCCTTTATCATGTCCTGCAGAGCTTCGACAAGTCGATACAGGTGGCTCATACCGTTTAGAAGGTAGCTCTTGATGTTGTTGTTGCTTGCTTCTGTGCCAGAGGTGACGCGGATGCCAAAGTTGCGATACTTGCGGATGAAACAGCGTGCCCACTGGGCCCTTACAGGCATGTAGGTTCCATGGAGATACCGGAGGATAGCCCGCTGGTCATCAAATTCCCTACAGAGGTTTCTCCACGCCTTCTTGTGAGCGTCCTCAGTCTCGGCAAACAAGACGAGCTTCCACATCATGAGAACCCCTCGATAACTATGAGGGATGTCCTCAGATGTCGACGCGTGGACTAACTGTCGGTCTTTCGGGCTAAGCTCAGCCCGTACCTGTGGAGTAGACTTATCCTCGTCGCTGCTGTCGGGACTACTGCTACTACTGCGGCCCTTGACCCACTTTTGCTTTGATTTGAGCAGGATGTTCGAATTGATGTGGTGGATATAGAGCTGCTGCTGTACATCAGGGAACTGATCATTCAGGGCGGCCTTCATCTGATCGTCGAAGTCGGTAACGAT